ACAAAGGGAGTTCCAATGAAACACACGGGCAGAGAGGATCACAAAGACCCTCTTTAGAAACGGGCTGCAGTTTTCAAGTCAAGCGTGGATATTCATAAAAACAAGAAGCTGACAAACTACAACAGTAAGTAAATTAATCTTACAGCTAAAATCCAACAAAGCCACCGAGACTCCTCCACAAATCGCTCCTGAGCGATGAGCAGTTTTCTGACAATGCTGCCAAGTAGTACACCAAAACCGCTCTTTCTTTCCCAAACGCATCGCACATCACCTTGGTCACGCTGTTTTTTCCCCTTACTCCCTCCAAAAATACTTAGGACTACCACGGCTCCCTTCCAAGCGCGGATTATTATTTTTGGAGGCGTTACACAAAGCGTGCTCGTGTTTACACCAACGGCGGGGCTCACCCGTGCGGCCCCCGCCAAGTTGCAAGCAGCCCACCCCCTCCACCAAAACCCAACTCCCCCCATCCTCTCCTTCCTTTAAAAAGGGACCGAGGAGGAGAAACAAACGCGGGCCGGGAGGCGAGCCCGGCTCCATCCCCTTCCATTTTACAGCGGGAGCAGGCGAGCAGCGCGCTCCCCGCCCCTCCCCCAGCCACCACATGGCGCCAACAAAAGGCAGCTCCAGAACAAAGGAAGCGCTGCTGCGAGTGCTGCTGCTGCTGCTAGCGCTGCGAGCCCTGCTGGGGCTGCTGCAGGGCCGCGGCTCACACCGGGGCCTCCCCTCCCACCCCCCCCTCACCCAACCCCGGCCGGGCACCGCCGAGCCCCGCAGCGGGCCCGGCTCCCTCCCCCCTCCCATAGCCCTGCCGGTGCCTCCTCCTTACCCCGCGTCCTCCTCGTTCTTGCTGGCGTTGATCTGGTCGCCTTCGGCCCCGTTCTGGCTGGCGGCCGCCCCCGCCGTCCCCGCCGCCGCCGCTCCGGCTGCCGCCGCCGTTGTGGTCGCCGCTGCCGTCGCTGCCGCCGTTGCCGAGCCCGCTGCTGCTGCCGCTGCCCCCGCTGCTGCCGCCGGGGCCCCGCCGGTGTCGGGCTGCTGCTGCTGCTGCTCCCCCCCGGCGCTCTCGGCCGCTTCGTGCCCGTTCTGGGTGGCGCCGGCGGCGGCCGCCAACTGCTGCTCCGCTTCGGACATGCTGCCCCGGCCGCTGAGGCGAGAGGCGCCTGCAACACACGGGCGGAGCGGGCGGGCGGTCAGCGGGCGGCTCCCCCCGGCCTCCCCCACCCCCCCCTTCCCCCTCCTTCCTCCTCCTCCTCCTCCTCCTCCTCCTCCTCCCCCCCCCCGCCGGGCCGGGCCGGTCTGATCCGGTCCTCGCCCCTCCCCCCCCCCCCGCCCGCCCACCCCACAGGCCCCGTACTCACTTTAAAACCCCGCTCGCGATAAAATCCGGGCCGGCCGGAATCGGATTAAAATCTCCCCCCTTGTGCCCGCCGAGAGCCGCCCGCTGCGCTCCGCCGTCCCCTCCCCGCGGCGCCGCCGCTGCTCCGCGCCGCCTCCTTCCCCCCGCGACACGTCCCCGCCGGCCCGCAGCCCCAACGCGTGGCCGCCTTTATAGCGCCGGAGCCCCGGGCACATCGCAACAAAACGCCTCGTCGTTGGCTTCCGCCGCCCGTCACTCAAGGCCGGTTACGGGTTCTGATTGGTTTAGAGGCGCGGGGCGGGAGTGGAGGGAAGCAGTTGGCGAATGGCTGCCCGCGGCACTGGGCTGAGGGGGGAAGGCGCGCGAGGGGCCTCGCGCCTCAGCTCCCCCCCCCTGAGGGGGCCGTGAGGCGGCAGCCGCCTCCCCGCCTGCCTCAGGGCTCGCCGCGGGGTTTTGGGCCCCCGGCGGTTCCGCTGCCGCCCGCCGGGCTCTCGGCTGTGCTGTAGCGCAAGCGGAGCTCTCCGCTCTCAGCCCGGGCCTCGGCGCTTTGGCCCGGTTGGAGCCGGGTGAGGGGGGCAGCGCCCCGTGCCTGGTGGCTCCCGTCAGAGGGGGGCAGAGCGCGGGGCTGGGAGAGCCGGGCACAGCCGCGCCTTTACAAAGGAGAAATCGGGCCCTGTGCTGGAGGGCTGGGAGTAGCGATTATTTCCTAATCTCTGTAGTAATGGATGCGGGTGCCGTGAGGGTGCTCTGCCCTCAGGTATCTCCCCTGGCCCTACTTGCTCCCGCTGTTACAGGGCAGGAAAAATGCACGGAGCGAACTGAGCACAGCGAGGCGTTTTTTTATGAGGCAGCCTAGTCTAAGATCCAGGCTGGCCTTCAGCAAGCTGCTTTTAGAGCATCTTTTATCCTCTACAAGAGTTGATTTCTCAAGTAGCAACTCGGTAAAGTTAGAATAGGCTATGCTAGGTGTGATTTTATAGGCTTTGTAGCTGTACAAGCAGCAGATCACTAAAGAGGAGCACAAAATAAAATCAACATAGTATGTTTAGATTAAGGGCTCCATCCACTTTTTTAAAGTTAAAAACAGCCCACTGCCTCGGGCTATGAGCCAGACCTCTTAAGGGAAAGGAGAGAGAAAAAAAAAAAAAGAAATCATACTTAGTGTTATAATATCTTATTATCATATGAGAAATTGCCCTCTGCTACAGCCAAGAATTTGAAGCCACTCTTCTGTTACGGTGCTGTGGCTTGCCACAAGAGCCATTTTAACTGGTCCAAGCTGCTTTGGGTTCCCATGCACACGCACAGCAAGACTGCATCATATTTGTTACTGGAATTGCAGGGTTTTTTACATATAATTTCTAGAGTGTAAGTTGTTGGACATAGTGGCTATTTGCTTTTGTAAATCCTTTTTTCCTCAAATGTTTACTGCCCACAAATCGAAAAATATTAAAGTAGTCTAAAAACGTGATCAACATGAGTAATTTCAAGAATGCAAGAGCACAGTGTAAAATAGACTGATGTGTGATTTGTCAGCCAGGTGCTCTATTCCTGAAGGATATTAATTTGTAAATATTCTGCTACACCTTCAGACCAAGCTATAATAGCTCAGAATTTTATCTTTAGAGATGTTTATCTCAACCTAGTGTGTCGACAGAGTAGGGCAGGCTACGGACAAGCACCACAACTAGCTGTTAAGGCTAAAGTTTGTGAATGAACGTCATATGAGGTCAGGTCCAGTTACAACAGTATGAAGAGTACCTAACCAGCATGGTTGGAGATTGTAATGCCTGCAGGATAGGTTGTATCTGTTATCTGATAAAGATTCTTATTGTTACAAGACTATTTTTAAACTGTTTTTCTTACATTGAACTTTAAATAAAATGTTAGAAACAAAAACAACAAAAAAACATAAGATGGTCTTTATCCTGATTTATGCCATCTCAGAGAACTTGCCCCACATCCGGCAAGAGAACTTCTGTTGATTTCTTTTAGGCAGCCTTGGCTAAGATTGCAATCAGTTTACACCAAAAAGGTATGGTTCCTGATTAGAATCAGCTAAGCCGCGGTGTCGACTGCATGTGTTAATTTACACAGTGCTGTCAGTTTGCTTCAATTGGAAAATATCCTGCAGTTGCGTAAATCGCTACAGGGAGAGTTAAGATCAGACTGGTGTTTGCAGGTACAGTTGAATGGGCAGGCTGACACGGTGGCTACTACCTCCCTTCCTCACTAGCCACTTTCTTTTTTGCAGGTTTCTCTGCATGCAGCTGCTGAATGCAGAAACGCCTTCTGAAGTTGTAAGTTCGTAGACCAGCTCGTGAGAGTAAACTGAAATGGGCAGCAGTTTATGTGAGTCTGTCATGTGAGGTTAGGCTCAGCTGATGGATAGAACCTGAGTGGTTTTGATGATACAATTTATTACTTAATCTCCCTCTGCTCTGAATATCCCCTTTGTATTTCATCAAGCCTTGCATTTCATTTGGAGTTCTCCATGTTTTTCCCTTCTCTCTTTTTCAGTTTTCTTTCTTACTTTGCTGCACTTGTTTCATCTTTCCTTTCATAGCTCTTGCACTGATATTTTGGCATATTATCGTTTTCCTGCTTAACAGTGCTTCTTTAAATCAGTTCTCTTTTCCAGCAGCCCGTTTCTTCTGGTTAGGTCCATCTCAATCTCTCAGCTTGGCAATTCTAAGTAGCAGTTCCCAACTGCCAAGTCTTATCTGTGATTCCCAGTTGCCCCATTTTGATGTTTGCTGCTTTTTATGTCCCATATCCAACAAGAGGATAACAACGTGGCCGTGTATCTGGTTTGGAAACCGAAGACTTGCATGACTAACAGAGCCACTCTTTGCATATATATGCATTGAAGACTGAGAGATGAGACTCTGAGCTGTTAATGAGTAATATTTTTCTCACCAGGCCCCATCATGACACAGGTTATTTAAAATAATTCATCTGGAACCTGGGTTTCAGTCCTGCCTTTCACTCCATATTCAAAGCCTGTGGTTAATCAATGAAAAATAGACACACAGCTTGTTGGGCGGTAATCCGTACATGACACATTTACTGCTGAGGAAAAAAAACTAGCATTCTATTTGCTATTTTGTTAATCCTGTAATTACTGTTGTTATTAATGGTGTTGACTGAAGTTCAATTGAATTTTACTTGTGTATGAACTTTTGAAATTGGGCCTAATTTTGCATTTCTGCCAAACTTGTTTACTCCAAGCCCTGCCCTTGCTGTCTGTTCGTAGGAGTTTTGTGCCGTACCCATCTTCATTGCTTCCTTCCCTTTCTTTTTTATCCTATTTCCTTTTTATTTCCATTGCATTGATTTGTATAGTTTCCCTCTTACAGAGGAACAAACAAACAAAAAAACATTTACTGGTCTGAAAATACTGATGTAATTTATCCCTTTTCCCAAGACTGTGTCTATCTTGTATAAATTGATGGTAAGCATCTCATTCAGGTCAGAGGTGGCCTACTATACATAAAATATCACCCGCAAGTTAGTTCTTATGCAAAATATACATAAATAATAATAATAATAGAATAATAATAATAATAATAACTATGCAAGTAGCCCTGTTGATTTTAACATAATTGTTGAAAGTAAGTGGTCAGAATAGGACTGCAAAAAGGATGCCTTATGCTACACTGAAATAAGATGAAGATGCATTTAAGCAAGTATTTACAATATAACCTTTCAAAGCACATTATTTAACTGCTTGTCTCTTTCCATTTGCATATAATAATAATATTGCTATTAGATTCTTCTTAGAGTCATTTATTCATGGTGGATAGTATCACACTGAGTACTTAATCCCAGAGCTTAGTGGTCTCAATCACCCAAAGCAATATGATGTTAAACATCACGTAGAGCAACGAGAGAGAGAGAGAAGAGGTGGTGCTCTGAAAGGTTGGGTGGAAGCCTAATATCTATATGCAGCATCTCTACACAGTGCCTATATTCAAACTGGGAGGAGCTTTATAGAAGCTGGCAAATCAATGCTAGCCTCTACAGGTGTTCAACATGAGCTCATCCTGAGCAACAACATGGGACAAAGCAGGAAGGTCTTTATTTGAAAATGCATTAGTAGAATTCAATTGCATCGGCTGGCTCATGTTGTAGGAGCTATCCTTTGTGGAACAAAAGGTAAGTAGGACTGGATCGATGCGTGAATGGGCTTGCAATTGAACACTAACAGTTTTGTGCATGATAGAGAAGACTCTCTTTGAAAAGATGTGGAAAACTAGCATAAACAGATGAACCAAAAAAAATGTCTTGCAGCAACTTTCTGAATGGAAATGAATGATTGATTTGTTGAGGCCAGAGAAAAGGATGTCAGCGATAAAGAAGATGAGGAAAACCCGTGCAAGAGTCCCAGCCACGTCAATAAATCACAGATTTACTTCTCCCTACCTTGATTTACATCTCCACAGCAGTTTAGATCAATCTGAGCTTGAACCTCACATTCCTGGCAGTGAGGTTTTACCCCCTTCTTTGCACAGCTGGCTGTAAAATAACTCAGTAAAAAAGTGATTGTTTTCAGTCAGATTTGTCTAGCGCACGGTTATTACCAAGACTTTAAATGGAGACAGCTTAAGTTTGAAAGGAGACAGTAGTATGAGGCTGTCAGAGAAGGAAAGGGAGGAGAGACTTGAGATCAGAGCTCATCAGTGCTCTTGCAGATGAGGGAAAGAAGCACAAGGGGAACCTACTGATGTGCCAAGCTGAAACAGCATTTGGGGAAGCAGCAACAGCAAGAATAATTGCAAAAGCTAAGATAGGTGGATAATTAGCTGTGCTAAAAGTGACTGACAACCAAAGAAGAGATCAGTTGAAGATCTGTTGAGAAACTTTCAGATGACAAGAGGAAGCAAAACTATTTTTGAAGTGGATTTACGGTAGAACCAGACAAGAGATGTGGTAGGAAGACTCTTAAAAGTGAGGTGAGGAGAAGCACTTCTACTGAAGGATTTTTAATTTTTACTTTTTATGTAAAAGAGACAAGTGTGTCTGAGTGGGTGCTGGGCGGTCAGAGCAGAGCAAATGACTGAAGATGTGACTAAATGAAAGAGCGAATGTGAGGGTAATCAGGAAAATAAATAGGATGAGGTCAATAGGGCAAGTGATGGAGTTACAGAGGAAATTTAGGTAAGATGTTTGTTATCACTTAGAGATTTGTAGAAAGGGGAAGCGTCATGAGAATATTTTGTTAATTTTATCTTTAAAGAAAATTGTGAGATAGCAAATAGAGGAAAGCAGAAAGAAAGGCTTGAAATGGGTTAGTCAGCAGCAATAAAAAGCTAGCTAGGATTACATGTGTGCAGATAAGCTGCACAAGTAGAATTGTTTAGCTGTAAGAAGGCAGAAATGGAGGAGGGAGCAGGCTTGCAGGAGAGGAAGTTAGCTTGATCACAGGATTTCCGTCAGAAACACTTTGCACTGCACAAGCAAGCATGGATGAAGCAGGTGCTGAAGGTAAGCTGGTGCTGTGGGTAGGTATGACAGACTTTATCATGAGAGACAGAAGCAAAGAAGTCAGTGGTGGGTGAAAGTTGTGTATACGGCAAATGTACAGCTAGTAATTTTTTATTATTTTTTTCTCTGTTTGACATCAAAATGCATGTAAAGCTAAAATATGTGCAAGTTTCATTTTTAATCAGTGCAACCACTCAGGACTCTGTAGCTTTCATCGTGTTATCCAACACAATTTTACATCATTCTGCTTTTCTTTTTCTTGTTAAAAACTAACAATCCACAAGTAATTATTTTGTCCACCTTCTTGCAGTATTAGGGTACAAAGTTCTGAAACAGTATTTTTTCATTTAAAAAGTTACATATCTTTGTTACTGGAGTGAAAATACACCTGCAGCCCCAGTCTTTCAGTGTTGTTATATTCTGTGCCAGCTAAAAATAAGACAACCAAGGCTTGTTAAACCGCTTAACAGATAAGATACGGCAGCAAAGCTATGCCTGGAGAAGTATTCAGAACTGTAATGGTTCATTACATGGTAATTAAAATTTTACTCTTTGATTCTTTCTTTTCTTTAACTCAAAATCACATTCCTGACCTGCAGGAGTTAGGGAAAATGATTCAGACTGGCCTTTTAGTTATTTGAAATATCTCTTCAAGCACTATAAAGATAATATGCATACAATAATGATATTAAGACAGAGTTGTAAAGATGGGTTTATAGAATCCAAGGATTTTGGAGAAATCTGTGAGATGCTCTCTCTGTAAAAAGACATGTCTTTGTTAGGGAATGCATCGTGTTATTCTCTTAACATATGGGGCCACTTTAAATGTGTAAGGCTGCGTTATTAAACTGTCGTGGGAAGTGTAGCAGGAGGAAACCCGGGGTAATTGGCTGCAGCTTTAGATGCAGCAGCCTGCTCATTGGAGAGCAGAGGATTCTCTGAGATGCTAAAATTAGACAATCTCCGCCCTCCAGAAATGCTTCTGGAAACAGCAAGGAGGAGAAATTCTGACACAGAAAGATGGGGGAAGGAGCGAAGTGCACAGGACGCTGCTGGTGGAGAAGCTTCAGCATATAAGGGTGCACAGAAGGATACATATATTTTTCTCTAACTTGAGCAACTGGCAAAAAATGCACACAAAAAGGAAATTGCAAGAAAGTTAGTGTTTTACAAGGATATTAAATTCAATGTTTCTTATGTCATAATCTGAAGTATTCACTGGGGCTCAGGAGGCCTTTGAGCTGCTAAATCTAACGTTGGGCTCTCAGACATACTCATTTACTTTGGAAAAAAATGACTCTTGCTGCATTAGCTGAACTAAATCAAAAAGCAGATGATCTTGCAAATCTTTCTACCAGCCTATTTTTCAGAAAGCGTGTTTCTCCGTTATCTGAGTTGTTGCAGTGCTTCTAATGCCTTCAGATTAACTGCTGGATAAGCAATCTCTGTCAAGGAAACAAACATCGTATGTCCGTATTAATGAAGGAAAGTCTGTGGCTGATCAAGTCTTGTGTGTTTTCGTTTCTTGGAGCCTTTGTTTTTTCAAGTTATGAGAATAAAAACAATTTCAATCTTTGATTTTTTTAAACATGCTTCAAGCTGGCTGGAAAGAGATGGTGTGATTTTGTTTCTCGTTTGTATTTCTACATTATTTACATGTGAAAAATAAGGCACGGTGCGTCTTTCTTACACTCAACCCACCTTTTGCAGTACACTTACAGTCCTTCTGCTAACCAGGGGCACGCAATGTCAGCATTTATGCCTTTTGGCCTCATATTTTCAGTCAGACTTCACTAAGAAATGATGCCTGCGTAGGTGGCTGTCGGCCCAGCCTCACCTCAGGGGCTCCTGAAGGCCAAGGGGCAGCTCCTGCCGGAGGTGTCAGCCACCCCCTGGGCTCGCACCGTTTCCGATAAGGGCGGCGGAGGCCCGAGGGAGAGGAGCCGCGGTTGTTATCGGCTCTGCCGGCCGGGGCACGCCCCGATAGCGGGCCAGGCCCGGGGGGGCGCTGAGGTGAAAGCGGGGGGGGGACCCGGGGAAGCCCCGGGACGCATGGGGCCGTCCGGTGTGGGCCCTCAGTCAGAACGGGGAGGCTGCTGTTTCCTCGTCGTGTGTCTGTGATAAAACCAGTAGCACTGGATGGAGACTGTATTATAATAAAAAAAAAAAAAAAAAAAAAGAAAGCAGAATGGCGGTAGTTGAGGAGCTGGGAGCTCGGGGCGCTGTGCGTGCTGTGCCGGAGATCCGGCAGGGAAATAAAATAAGCGCTGCCACGACAAACACCGAGTTAAATAACCCGCAGAGCGCTTGCGCGCTGAAAGGCTCCTTCCCTTTTCAAACCCGCCAGCTCCCCCACATCGCCTTCCCCCTGCTGAGGGGAATCAGCCCTCTGCGAGCTCACGGCTCGCGGGGCGGTCCCGAGCGGGAGGTAAAACCCGGGCTTTGTCTGGGCGAAACAACAACAAAAAGCACAACGGGCACCAAAACCCTCCCCACACGTCCACCACCCCTCCTCTACTCATATTTATTACACAAAGCGCTCAGAAAGGGACAAACACGGACTCTAAAGCGAGCTTTGGGCCGCAGCACTTTCGCGCCGGGGCTGTGGCGGCCCTGCCCGGCCGCCATTTCGGAGCCCCCCCCGCGCACGCAGGCAGCGGGGCCCGCCCGGCGCTGGGGCGCGGAGGCCATCTTGTGGCCGAGCCGGGCGGAGCCGTCGCCTAGCAACGGCGGCGCGGCGGGAAGGTGCGTGGCATGGCGGCCGGCACGGGGCCTGAGGGGACCGAGCTGCTGTGGGGTGAAGGAGCCGCTTCCTCGCCTCAGATCCTTGGGGCTGCCGCTGCAGGGAGCTGCAGGCTCCAGGCTTGGCGGGCGTGGGTGGTTTCAGCCCCGGGGGGTCTGTGCCGGCAGCCCCCTCGCTGGGGGTCCGGGGTTGTTCCTGGCAAAACATCGCCCCGAGAGGGTGGGGTGAGAAGAAAAGCGGTCATAGTTCCTAGGAAACTGCTTCCAGGAGTCACAGAGCGGTTCTGTAGCCTAATAGCTTGTTAACAGGCTGATCCACTCAGTTAGGAAACTGGCACTTTGTCTCGAGTCCATAAGTATGAGAATTAATTAGCAGTTGGGAAATACCCAGCGGCTTGTAGATGGATCAGGTCCAAGTGATAAATCCCACAGAGCATTCTTCGTGCATAAGAATACAGATTTGGGGTTTGGTGGAACACACGGGTTTTAGATGGGGAATGTCGGGGTACTGCAGTGGGCCTGGCTCTTTTTGCAGGTAGTACAGTCTATGGGATGTTTCTCACATCCATTGTTTGAGTTAGTGACATTTAAGAGTAATTATATCTCATGATTACCTAACATTTAATTTTGGCATATTTTCTACAAACGTTACTCTACTAGAAATAGGAATGTGAGTTACAGGGTGCTCACTAGTCCAGGGAAAATCTCACGTGGATGCTCTGAAATTGGGATATTTTGTTCCTAGAGCGCACCACGAGTGTCGCTGCAGGTCTCTGAATGGTGGAGAAACCCCAAATGTCATGAACTTATGTCATTGCAGTACAAAAGAGGCATTTGAGTTCTGACTTAGAAGCGAAGATGCAGATGTTAATGCCTGAACCTCAGATTTTTGTGGAAAGAACTCTGGCCCTCATCAAACCAGATGTCGTTGATAAAGAGGAGGAAATAGAGGATGTCATTCTCAGATCAGGATTTTTGATCGTTCAGGTAACAGACTGTGTTCCAGAGAAAATAATTGCAGTTTATAAGTCAGAACAATGTTTGTCTTAACTTGCAGCCATCGAGACAGTAACTAAAAGCTCATGTGTCCAGAAAGCATTTGTGTTTTTCATGCCATTAGCTACAACTGCCAGATCTACAGTTTTGCTGACCATGGGAAAACACAGACTTTGTTGATAAACTGGGATTTAGCAAACATATGTAGCAGATAAGTGGACTCTCCAAAGTAACTCTTTGGAGAGTGTCTACTTTCCAGCAGCACAGTGTTTCTTGTACCCATTTGCCAAGTGAGTGCTTCCAGAATTAATTGACCTATGTTGGTGTCCAATTGTGGTCTGACATGTTTTCTGGTTTCCACTGTTGATTTCTTTTTGGTTTTGTTTTTTGGTTTTGTAAATAGGCTTTGTGAATGTTTAAATTCAGAACAAATGTTTCGTTTAAATAGGCCTTGCTGAGTTCTTTTTAAATTTGGATCTGACACAGTGGTCATGGGAATGTTGCCTGGAGCATTGCTGCAACCCTTCTGCTACTTGGAAAGACTCTAAGGTGTGATTTTCAGCAGAGGTTGTGTTGAGGGAAAAAAATGCCTTTAGCTGGCAAGGAAATGTATTCTCTAGGCCCTCTTTTAGGGGGCTTGTCACACACTCTCTTTGTAAGAGCATATAAAAAAAAATATATTAAAATAAGCCAGAATCCCTAGATGACTTTGAAGCAAGGGATATGTCAGGATCTGCGGCAGGGAGCAGCCAGCAATGCAGCTCTGTGCCTGGCAGGCAGTGTCATTTAAACTCTCGTCCAGAAACAGATCGTAACAAGGCAAAATCCCTTCCTCCAGGTTACCCAGCGGGGCGGCCGCTGGGTGCCGCTGTCCTCCTCCTCCTCCTCTTCTTTCTCCTTGTTCTGGGGCAGTAGCACCCTAGGTCACGGTACTTTGCTCCGGCTGAGCAAACTTTATCTCCCTATCTCTTTATATCAGATGTTTATCTTTTTTTTTTTTTTTTTTCCCTAAAGGTATGATCTTTCATCCTTGTAAATGTCTCTCTTTTCCGACACTTTTTTTTTCTTTCCCTACACTTCTGGTTGTTTTATTTACAGAGGTGAGATTAATTAATTAATTAATTAATTTTTAATGAGAATACATTTTTAGTATCTTCTGATGCCGCCAGTAAATTTTGGCACTGAAGCTGTTAGGAATCTGAATTTGCATTACTATGTATCATGTAAGATCAGGCTCAAAGAAAGTACTTTTTAATACATTTAATTCTCTTTTTTGTGACTGCCCTGTGCCCTCTGATGGATAACCTACTGAACTTGGAGGCTAGGCTGCTATTGTGAAAAATAAAGCCTAAGAATGAAAAACAATTGCATAATTAACATTGTGGGTTGAAATCTACGTAAAAGTAGAACGTTATTGTGGAACAGCTGAATAATTAAACACTGTTGTTATAATGCTTTTCACTTTTACTATACAGTGCCCTGACTACTTGAAGTCATTCAGCAGTTTTAAATGCTGTAGTTTGTGTACACTGAAATCACACCTTACTCAAATGGCATGTTTGTCTGCTTAATTAACATGGAAACTTATTGCTTTTTGGTGCTCTGTGCCTCAAAGAGGATCAGGTGTGGGAGAATCGATTAGGTTAGCAAGTTACTCTGTGTCTGTTAGGCCTGCACTTGAAAATGTGACTGCACCAGAGAACTGTGTGGTATCTGTGGTAGCAAGCTATCTTAATTTAGCAAGATTTTTTTTTTAATTCTCTTTTATTTTACACTTATTTTTTTTAGAAACGGAAGCTCCAGTTAAGCCCAGAGCAATGTAGCAACTTTTATGCAGAACAATATGGAAAAATGTTTTTTCCCAATTTAACAGCCTATATGAGCTCTGGACCTCTAGTTGCTATGGTTCTTGCCAGACGTAACGCAGTCTCGTACTGGAAGGAATTGCTCGGACCATCAAACAGCATAAAAGCTAGGAGGACTCACCCTCACAGGTAACTCACTGGTTTGCCATGGTGAAGTCAGGAGGGTTTTCTCATTCACTTAAATGAGACCGGAATTTCTCTGTCTCCCCCTCTTCTTCTCTGCCTCTTTCAGCTGAGATGCAGATTTAGATCAGCCTGTTATCATCCTAAATTATGTGTAAAATAACTTTTAACCCTTTTTATTTTTTTGGAGTAGGTACAGTTAACCCCTTTTTCCAAGAATGCTGTGCGCGTGAACGCAAATTTTAGGGTGCTACTCGGTTTGTTTAAAAAACAAAATCAACCCATTGCTTTGTAACCAGTCCATATATATTGCTTTTATATCCCGAGACTGTTGAGAGCTGAAAGAGATTTGCAGCTGCCTACCAAACAGTTCTTTCTCTTGCTTTTAGTTTAAGAGCAATCTATGGGACTGATGAGCTGAGGAATGCGCTTCATGGCAGCCTCAACATTTTTTCAGCAGAAAGAGAAATTCGATTCATGTTTCCAGAAGGTAAAATGGTGCAAACAATGTATTGCCCATGTTTGGGAGGATAGCAGTCTGCTCAGTTGTTGATTGTCCCTTTTCAGACTCTAAATATAATTTGATTTAGAAGGGCTCGGGTTTGTTTGCTTTGTGCAAATGTGTATCTCTTTAAGTTGATATTCTCTGCTACAAAGTGCATACCAAAATCAATTTGAAGAGCTATTATAGCTACAGAGACTGCCTCGACTTTTCAGACTCTGTAGTTTGGGAATTGGAGTGAGTAAGGCTAGTAAATGAGAGGAAATGGGAAGCTGTTATACTCCAGCATGTTTTTCTGGCACTGTCAGCCCAGGGACTCCTGTTGGCTCGAGGAGACTCACTCCCTTGGGCTGAGGATGAGTAATTCCTGTTCAACAGTAGCTGAGTGCTCACATTACAGTGCAATTCCAGAGTTAAGTGCCAAAGAAATGGGCCATAGCACCTGGACAGGCTGGGAGATGATCTCTTGTTTGTAATGTTTGAAAGATTTGGTCTGTGACAGAAAGATGTGAGGGAAACTGACCAGAAAAGTGTCTGCTTTGTCAGATGGATCCCTTAGTTTCATAAAAACTGTTACACTTCCCTACAGACCATACGTCCTGTGAACTATGGCTCTTTTCTTCATCTTGTCAATAAAGCTAGGCTTAGTGTGAGATTTAGGCTTTCAGAAAACAGCTTCATACTGCAAGAAGGAAGTACAAAACATGGGCTATATTGTTTCTCTCCTACACCCAATGAATCTTCAAGGATATAGGTGTTTCCCCAGATGATCCAAGTTCCTCTCCTTCCATAATTGGCTATAATTAGCAAGATTACCTCAGGGATGTTGTAAAGGGATTTAAGTAGTTTCTTTACAGTTGGCTGTGTGAGAAGCTCTACCAACCATTGTGTATTATTAACTTATATGAGTCTCTGCTTACCTATAAACTACTGTTGAAAGAATGCCTTTTTTGATCGTTCTACAAACTGCTGTCAAATACCTGTGGTTACTCTTTACAGTGATCTTGGAGCCAATTCCAGCTGGGCAGAGAGCTAGGGATTACTTGAACCTTTATGTAAATCCTACCTTACTAGCAGGGCTCACTGCACTTTGTAAAGAGAAGCCTGCAGATCCTATGGTACGTACAGTGTATCAGCATCGTGTTGTGTGCTTTGTGATACGTTTCCTCTGTGTTAGAATTCGTGGTCTCTGTAGGAAAACTCCTCCTCTGTTAAAGAGCTGTGCTCCTTTAGCTACCTGCTAATGAGGTAGCCAAATAACATTTGCCTTTCAATAAGTTGATTTGTTTGTTAACAGATGAAATGAGGGCCTGGACTAAATGAAATCAGCTTTGACAAAATGACAGTTGTTTTTGGTGACTTTGCTAACTGTTGCCAGCACATAGTAGCTATAGACATCTGTAAAGGTAAACAGGGGCTATCATACGATGCCAAATACACATTTTTTATTTTGTTTAATGTTTCTGAGGTGAGTTTGAAATGAAGTAATTCTAGGTAAGATTAGATGTTAATCACACTGGCAGTAGTTATGTGGTTGAGTAAAACAATGTAGAGTTCTTAGCAAACTGCCCATGTTTTGTCATCGTTATGCTTTATTTCATAATATTAACTTCATCCTTCTTTAGGATAAACAATTATCTCAACTATATGGCATTGATAACACTTATTTGGGCTGTTCCGTAGTTCACCAGGAAAACTAATTAGGTTTCACCCAGAAGAATCATATCTTGAATAATCAAACTGACCTATGGAAAATTCTGTCATCTTAACCCTTTCTATTTAGCAAGTTGTCTCATCTTGCACTTCTTTCACAAGTTATTCCTTTTAACCAAGAATTTCATACAAATTGCAGATCTTAATGGAAAGACTAGAGTTCATTTCTTGTATTTTTCTTTTCAGGCCCTACAGAAATTGCCTTTCATCTGGGAAAATGTGGGGGTTTCTTTGTTAGTTTTATTTTTTATTGGTAGTATTCTTAAAGTTCAAGTAATTCACACCAGTACTTCTTAAAGAATACTGATAATTAATCAGTGACAATTTACTGGCAGCTGTGGTGGATTCAACATCAGTTTTCTAATCAACATTGCATTTTTCTGAAAGATTCCACAGGGAAAAAGAAAGAAGCCTTAAAATAATTTAGAGGTATTTCTGTGACCTGTGTGATATACATGAGGTCAGATTAAATGTACTCTGATTGTTCCAGTTTTGTAATCTGTTCACTTCATCCATACGTCTGGCAGTCTGGCACCGTTAGCACAGAAATCTAGAAAATAGGGATGGAAGGTTCCTGAAGTAGTCATTTCATCCATCCCTTTGCCGAAGGGCCCAACCAATTGTATGTAACCATTCCTAACTAATGTTTGTCTGGCCTGTTCTTTAGCACTCCAAATGATGGAGAATCTACTGTCTCCCTAGGCAATCTATTTCAGCGCTTAATTACACTTAGTTGAAAATCTTTCACTAAAAGTTAGCCCAAATCTCCTCTGCTCCGGTTTTAAACCCATGACAATTTTTGTTTTGTTTTACTAGCCCCAGAGGACATTGTGTCCACTGTAATATCTCTTTTTTTTTTTTTAAAAAAAAAAAGCACTCTATTGCATATTTGCAGTGTCACCATCTTTTTTTCCCTTCAGTTATTTCTTCACTATATTAAAAAAAAAAAAAAAAACAACAGCTTATTTTTTCTATCTTACCTTGTAGACCACATTTCTCTGAATCTATTTGTTTCCAATTAATCTCTATATTTTCAGCACAGTTTCCTAGCATATTTTTTAAACCTATCCTTTTTGTAACTGGTAATTAAAGTGTTGCTTACCTTACTGGGATACTATTCTATCAATTCTTTCACTTCAGGATATGGTATCTGTTTTACATAGCATTCCAGAAACAAATCATTGACGGCCCTGTGAAGTAAATAAGGATGTGTTAAATCTTCTCTTTACAAGTGGAGAAATTGAAGCAGAGGTTACTTTGCCTAAGGCCAGGCCAAGACATTGGCAGATTAAGTTAGGACTCAAGACATTCCTACCTCTCACATTCTTACTTAAGCACAATTTGCTGGAAAATGTACAAGATGAATTTCAAAAAGTCCCCATGTTTTGTTTTTAAGCTTAAGGCATTATAAGGTGATTTCAGTGTAGAAGACTGGCATTGTTAATGAATCATTACTAGATAGGCTATCTGTAAGTGTTTCTGGGAATAATATTTTAAGCACTTTAATACATATTGTACAGCTTCATTCCAAAACAGAGTTCAGTTTATTTTAAGTATGGCCAAAATATTCTTATACACAAAGACAGACATTTCCAGGAAAAGTTGTCTTCTAAAGATCAGCGTGAGTTATTCAAAAGCAATGCAAACTGTGAAGATTTAAAAGAATGTCTAGAAAAATCAGGCTATTTGTAGGTTTGTTTTTTTCTGAAAGGTCTTCATTTTGCAACACAGTAGGAGAGTGCATCAGAGGCTTCAGACAAGGCTCTAAATAGTCTTCTATACATTAAGTAGGGGAAAAAAAAAAAGAAAAACAAAACATCAATAAAACAAAATTGAAAATGTGTGTTTAACTTTTCTTTGTTATACATCCAGACTTGGCTTGCTGACTGGTTGATTGAACACAACCCTAATAAACCCAAACTACGACATCAAATCACTGAAGAAGAGCATCGGGAGTGAAAAACATCACTCACTGGAAACCACCTCAAGCATTCAAATTACAGATCTATATTATCATTGGCACTGTATCCCTTCGGTGTTCAATTAATGTAATCTGAAGTAAATATTGTCTTAACTACCCATGTCTTTGTGGGATAAACCTTCCAGTTAACCACGATTTAAGTTAGAGTAGCTTTTCTGTTGACTTGGAGAATGCAGAATTACATGATAAATTTACTGTGTCAAGTGATTAGAAAAAGATGAAATGATCTTGTGGTGTTACTTATACTGCTGCTTTCCCCAGTCACCTTGTTTTGTCTGTTTGGGGAAAACAAAATTATTTAGACCACTGCAGATTCCTCAATGCCATACAGCTGGCCCATCCTTTGCAAAACTGTAATTTGTCTCCAGCACTTGTCAAGAGGTGCAAATCCCATTATGAAGGAGAGGTACCTGAATGTAACTTAGAAAACAGGTACTGGTGGTATCGTATTAGCAACTTGAGAATTTTTATTGTTGGTTACATCACCGAGCTATGGTCACTCTTACAGATGATTCACTCAAGGCTGATGTATTTTGTCAGAATATTATTTGAAGGCCTTAATTAAAGCTACATTGAATGTACATTTCCTATCTCGACAGAAAAAAAACACAGTGGTTATAAATCAGTCTCAGATTTCCATTAGAAGTCACAAGAAGGTTTACTTTAGTCAAGGACTAATGATATCTTCCAACACTTGTTTAAAGAAAGGTGTTTAATTGCAGCAGCTCACCTTAAGGGTGTTTTCTGTGTTCTACTGCACTTAAAAGGTCTGCCGCTTTCTGCTGTTTTCCTTGTAGTGTTGGTTACACTTGGACTTTAATGTGTTCTGTTGGAGAATTTCAAGCGAATGCATTAGGGGCTGTGTTGTTCAACAGACAATGTGTTAATCATGCACTATTATCTATTATTAATGTAATTGGACTTTTTTTGTGGGGGCTGGGACATGGTTGGGGTCCTTTTTTGATTTCTTATGTGTTGCATTTGCCCTGTTAACTTCAAGGTTTGCATCCTATGGCTTTCCTGCCTTGCATGGAGAAAACAATGTTGTTCTGCCAGCTCTGAAATATTAGCATTCTTGACTAATACTAAATAAATAAACAACTTCATAGTTTATTTTATGACAAGCCTTGCTTGATTAATTACCAGAAACATTAAACTTTTTTTTTAAAGCTAATTGTTTGTTTATCTTTTCAGTGGAGTAAGTGACTGTTGCCACCCCAAAGAATAAACATACCGAAAAGCAGTCCCTACAATAGTGAGATCTACAAGTCTTGAGACTTAAGAGTTTGTTTTTTTTTTTTTTAAAAAAAAAAGAAAGCCCAAAACCTCATCTATGAAGAAAAAAAAAAAAAAGAGGTCATTAGAAATCCTCTGAACAGATCTCTTTATAACTAATTTCTTTTGCCTGCTATTATTGTTCCCTATAAGCGTCTGATTGCTGCAATTACAGGACAGTTGTGCATTGTGGTTTCCTGTCAGCCAAACCAACAAATTCTCATTTGAACCCAACAGAAACAAAAATTCAGTGAATTCACAATACATTCTCCTTCATTTTTTGTCAGCTATGATGGTATTTGCTTCCTGAGTTTGATGTGTTGCAGCTTGACAATAAATATCTCCTTTAAGTTACAGCTGAAGTTCTTAGTTTGTCTCTTGCGACAGACCTGTGTTGTGTTATACCTATAGAAGATTTGTAACTTCCCCAGCGAGTATGTGGGTTCTGTGGTATACCGAGAGGGTAGGAGCAAGGGCAAAAACAGCTAAAGTTACCAATGTTATTTCTATAACTGCAAAATTGGTCATTCAAGTGTATATCATCTGTTATGGATTTTATTCTCTAATATTAGAGCCAACACCTTTAATTGCTGACTGGTGTTCACTTCCATTTTTTAAAGGAAAAGAGAGAAGATGCATTCATCCCTTGGATGCCATTCTGCTCACTGTATCTATACACCTCCCACAGGTATTAATCCAGAAAATCTCACAGCTGGGATGGTGAGGGAAGCTGCATCAATACGTAAAATGGGGGCAGAAGGTCAGTCCTAGGGATACCGAATGGGCAACCAACCTGGTCCCCTGGGGGAGCTGTTACACCATAGGAGAGGCTGTTTGAGGCAGTGCTGCTTAGGTTTCAGCTGGTCTTCAGGATTTTATTTGGCACGGAGCTTGGCCAATGTTATAAATCCACATTAGAGAAAGTGTAGCTTTAGGAAAAACAGATGAATTGAAATATGTCTTAAAATTTGGTGTCAGCAAGGCAGGCTACTCTTTGTGAGAACTGGTGACCTGTCCTTTCCCTGTTGAGTTAGAATAATTATCTTACCCATTGAGTTTTATTGGGTATTTTTAACTTTGAGGGAGTTCATTTTAGTTTTACTGCTTGGGTGCTGGAATAGAGCTATGTCCATAAAACCAGCAGCTCGGTCTGTTTCCCATAATTCTGTTTTTTCAACTTTCTTCTGGAAATTTGCTTATCAGAGGCTTGCTATTACCTGCCCTGGAAGTTGTTATTGGTACTCTATAGATTGAGCTAGTCTGAAATGTATGATTTTTCAGCCTTCCTGTCTCATAAGGGATTCATTATCTTTAAGAATAGACCAGTTAAACTGCCAGGAACCTTGAGCATACTTTAAAGATAGCAGAAACCTCAATCAAAGCCAGCACCCCTTTGCCTGTAAGTCAGAGCATTTCAGCATGCCAAGCTTCAGAAATGAGTCACTGTACACAGCTCAGGACTTTCATTCAGCAACTTTAAACAAAGCATGTTACATGGACATTTGCAAATACTCATCTTTTTCACCTAGGAAAAGAGGAGAGAATTTGTCTTTCTTCCTTCATTGAAGTTATTAATTGTGACTGTTCTTCAAACAACTGTGGTCTAAGCAAAATTCACAGATTGATAAATTGATGGATGTTGGTCGCATGGCACTATACGAAGGGAAGGAATGACTCAATCTCTTACTTTTTTTTCAGTGCCATATTAGAATAGCAGAGTCTATTTTTAATCTATTTATTTATTCATAAGGGCCTTAGTTAATAGAAATTTGTTAAGCCAGAGCAGTCAGATCGGGATAATTCATGCTATTCTGGTTGCTAACTGTTGGTCATTTTTGGGCTTACCTAACAACAGCTCACCCTTTGAAAGTTCTGTGGTGAAAATGCTGTTCTTCCACTTTCCTTTTTTTTTTTTTAATATATATAATAATGCTTTCAAGTAGAAATCTGAAGAGTAATAATTCTTTATTTTGCTGGAAAGAAGGACTCTGCACATCATAAAAAAGATAATTAAGATAACTCTCCATTATTTTTCCAGCACTGCTTCCTTTTAGATGACTGTCTGTAGGCTTGTTCATGGACCAGAAACAGGACTTCAGTCCCCTTCACTGATTGCCTGCTAACTTGCTTTACTCAAATGGACTTAGCTTAAACTCGTGTTGCAGTGCCCATCGCAGGAAATTGGTACTTTCTTGTTATGCTGTCAGTGAAATGGAATAAATGGGTTTCTTTTGGACGGAGCACTAATAGCAGCTACCCGTACCTACAAATCTTCTGTAGCCTGGACGAGCTCCTCAGGGTGTGGAGTGTCAGCAGCAGCAAGACTGATATGCCGAGTCTCCTTGAGAGGGTGCCTGTCAAATTATTGTTATGCTGCCTCCTGCCAGGTGATGGTGGAGATGCTGCCGTGAGCTCAGGGGAGAGCCTATTGTTGGATTCTGAGCCAGAAATAAGGCATTGTTGTGAGACGAAGCAGTCGGTGGGAGAAGACAGCTTGCAGACAAGTGGGTGAATGATACTTTATTAATGATAACACTGAGGGATTAAGAGTTATCTTCAGTTTGCTGCTTGTGAGTGTTTTATGGCTGAGGGAGGGAATGCTCTGGTACAAAGGACTTCATGTGGTGCTTTGTAGGGTATGCTTACATTTGTCTTGTATGGCACTGTATTTTCTCCCCTGAGAAAATCTGACTGACTCTTTGTGTAGCAATGGATTTCAGGTTGACTCACTCTTGCTTTGCTACAGGACTATTCTGAAATCAGGTTATTAAAAAATAAAAAAAAAAAAAAGTGTTACCATGTCTACAACTTCTTTACCATCATGTTTACTTGATTTAAAATTCTTTTCACCTGGGATTTCTGAGTCAGACTGGCTGGATCTTCAGTATTACTAGAGAGAGAAATTGCTAAAGGCAGTTGGGTGCAGTCTGTCAGTCCCAGACTGCCTGGGCAAGTGCTCACATATGAACTCACCCTAAATTCCAGGGAATTTTTATGTGCAAGAGCCTAATTTGGCTCTAAATTCTCTTGGCTTTGATAAACTAGTCTGCAAACCACCCATGTTTCTTTATAATCTATTTATAGGCAGTGCCTAAGTTCTCATTTCCTTGCAAGGAGACGGTTGTTTTTTTGTGACGTTTCCAGGATCCGCACTGATTGTCAGGTTAGGAAATTCTGCACTTCCAAAAGCAACATCTTACTGCCCTGCTGGCTCTCGGTTCTTATCTCGTTTAGGTGTTGTAAAAGTTGTTTCTTACTGGGTGGCATTCCTGTTGCAGTGTGAATGACGGCAATGTTTTGTACGTCTTGGGGTTTGTTTCAGTCCTCATCTCTCTATGTGAGAAAATTCCCAGGAGTATTTAACGTACGCGTGCGGATAGATCTCCTGCATGCCCCATAAAGTAGTTTACTACAGGCCAATATAAAGCAGTCATTACAGGGTGATGTTTAAACTTCTGAGATTAACACAGTCTCTCGATTGCACTTACTTATTTTTATAATGTGTAATTTAGCAACTGAACTGTGAAAAGTTATGGTGTAGGAAGGACTCCTTAAAAGCATTGGTCCCAACTGTGCTTTCAGTTGCTTCACTGTCAATCCAGAGCAACTCCATTCCATTATTTAAAAGGAAGAAGAAAAATCTGAGAGCTACTCAGCTGGTACGTTACACCTACATCTAAAATGCACTGCTGGATGTTGGCATGGCACATTCTGCACTCCGACTGAGAGTAAAGAGTTGGCGCCTGATTTCTCTGAAGTCAGACATGGATAATACAGTTTTCTGCATGCGGGACACTTTGTCATGTTCCATTTTGCTCAGGGAGTTTTGCAATGGTGTTTTTGCCTGGATAAGGAAAGTCTGAGCCTCTCTGAAAACCAGATGCTTTCTTCTGTGGCCACCACGAATCGAGATAGCTGTGAGATCATTCCCTCCTAACTTACCACTTCCAGCTAAACTATGCCACGAGCTATTTCAGAATCTTTTTTTTTTTTCCCTTCTGAGGTCTTCCATGTAAATATACTGAATTGACCAACAAAGTTTTGACCGTGACTGTCTTTGTTTTGCAAAGTTCTCTTGTAAACAGGCACCATGCTGACTTCCCTGAATAGCACCATCAGTGCAATTGAAAGGGAGCGACAAAGGCTAAGGAAATGAAATGTCCATTCAATTTCCTATTCATGTAAATGACAGTTTATCATACTGATTATTAGGTTTATGTAGTTAGGATCAGTGATGACTCTTAAGCCTTTTATTGCCTTTTTTTTATGAACTGCAATAAAAGATGGCCTCACCTGAACACTGACTCAGTGTCGAGGCATTCTCCAGGCTTAGTGTTATATCAGCCATTAACTCATCATTGCGTATAGCAAAGAAAGTCTTCACACTACAAAGCACCATGGGGCATCTCTACCAGTTCCTCATTCCCCCTGCAAAATATTCCTCTTTAAGACTGCATGAGATTCCTCGAATCTCGAATGAAAAAAAAAAAAAAAAAAAAAAGGTAAATAATTCATCAATGTATTTTTAAGAACAATACCCATTTTCTTGACTTACATTTCTTCTAACTGGAGGACAGAGTGCAGTACAAAGGAACTAGCAGGACATAAATGGTGCAAGTGTGAAGGTCAGTGTCAGAGAATTTAAATGACCCCTCCTCAGGTCATCCTTTGAAGCAGCAGCATAACCAGGAACGAATTCCATCTCTGTTTTGCTCCAGTTTTGTGTCATAACTAAGCAGTGTGTCCGCATATCTCCTCAATGAAAAATGCTTGTTCATAATTAAATAGATTCAACACCATGTTAGCCCTATTTCATATCCTCTGAGTTAATGTGGAAGAAGTCTCTTCACTCTTTTTTGGAACAGAACACAAGCTAAAGCTACTGGACTTGTCATTTGGGCTTGTCCCCCAGTCTTCCATGTGCCTAGTGTCTCAATTTTCCTGCTTGAATGTGGGCAAATATTCACATGATGATCCAATACCTGGTGGATTGCTCGGCTGAACAGGCCATTTGTCAGAGCATTGGTGCTTGTGCACCTACCCTAGACTTTGGAGTGGAAGAACGGGTAACTGCACAA